GGAAAGAGGCGTCCTATAGCGCCAGAGACCAGTGAATACAATTCCCTTTCGGAATAGAATTAGACCGCGTTCATGCTTTGCGGCAGCGTCCACCAGCGACCACCAGCGTTTCCAGCGTCCGTCAGCGTCACCGACTAGGGAAGGTGTAGTGATTGATCCAGCAAGTGGCAACGTCCATCAGCGTCCAGGAGTGAAGAGTATGGGGAAGTAGGAGGGTAGCAGACTGCTGGTAGAGTATGGGGAAGTAGGAGGAGAAGACAGCTGGATTTGGTATCGCGAAATTGCGGCGTGTCAACCACACCATACTAATAGAACGCGCGGCACATCAAACGTATAATTCTGTGCTTTAGTGGTTGTACGGTGCGGTTGCACACGACGCAATTGCACGACTCCTAATCCAGCTGTCTGCTCCTTCTACATTCCCATACGCTACCGTCAGTCTGCTACTCTCCTATTTTTCCCATACTCCACTTGCTGGCTTCTGCTGGACGCTTTCGTTCGCTAGATCAATATCCATACTTTCCCAGTCGCTGGTGTACGGTGCTAGACGGTGGTGGACGTGCCGTTTGCTAGATCAATATTCATACTATCCTAGTCGCGGCCTTGAAGGACGCTCGAAACGCTTCTGGTCGTTTCTGCAAAGTATGCCCTTTACGACTGTATACTCGGTGGTTCGGATGTCACACGTGAGAACAGAAAGAACTACAATTTTAAAGGAAATTCGCTCGGTCAGAAAACCAGCAAATAAGTTTTTGAAAGTGTCTGTGAAATTGCAGCATGAAATTTCACCTGATTTCCGGATGCTACCAAGGTTTCAAGCTTGGTAAGTTTTGAAAACGAGGCCGGTAATCGTTCCAACTTGTTAGTGCTAAGATCAATGAAAACCAATTTCGATAAGGTACCTGAAGTTTTTGCCTTTTGAAATGGAAGCAATATGGACACAGGTAACTCACCTAAATCCTCGGGAACAGAAACCAGTTCGTTTCGTATGATCACAAGTTTGGTGAGCTGTGAACACGACACAATTGAAGGTGAAAGATATGACATTCCACAACCCGCTATACTAATGAAGTTCAACTGGCGATTCTGAATATCGCTGATTTTATTGGACACAAATGAACAATGATCACCAAGTAGTACCTTCTCAAAGACCATTTTCTGAAGCTCATCGTCACTCAAGTTAGGAGTCCTTTCTTGAGAGTCCAAGCTCTTGAGCACAAGTTCGAATCGTTGTTCCTTTGTTACAACGGCCAACTCGGGCCATTCTGCTAGTGTGACCATCTTGAAGAAGATCAAGAGGAAGCAGACTATAAGAAAGCGTTCACACTTTGCGTCAGCGTTCTAAGCGTTTGACAGGGTTTTAAAGTTACTAGGAAAGCATGATCAAAATGCTAGCAGATGCTTAAAACGCTGAGTTGATACTAATACCTACCTAGAAACGCTCAAAAAGCTGATGAAAAGTATGAAAGTACTCTGACAAGGAGTGAAATGGTAGGTCGCGATGAAGAAAAGCCTAGCCCATATTGACAGCACAAAAAAAGGAAATTTTTTGATGACATAATTTAAGTTTCCAAGTGATCCATCTATCCATCGGTACTCAGAGATATGGAAAGCCAAATGTGCTCAGAAGAAGCAGATGAAATAGGGTCAGCCCAGTGTACACTGGAAAACGACCACCTTGCGATCCCAGCCTAAGCTGCGAAATGCCATATGTAGGTGCATTTTCGACTTCTAGGACATACGAGCTAACAAGGTTTTCCAGACAGGTTGTCTACAACCACTAGAAAGAAATGAGCAACTGGAAAAGAAGGTCTTTTCGAACTGCGCCCTATAACCTCATCTTGTTACATCGGGTCAGACTGCTCGATTCACTGCTTGCATATTACTGAGGCATGAAATAAAGGCCATGATTGGCACAGTTGATAAGATCTCATAGGGAAAACGGCAGGAAGTTTGTTTGCAGAGGCAAAAAGAAGTGGTTCTGCGTCAAACTAATTTAGTTCGTGGTGTCGTGCACGATTTTGTCCACGCACTACCTGTGTTATGCCTGGAAAAGATGGGAAGACTACTTCGAGGGACTACTGAAAGAGGAATTCCCCCACAAGGACAGCCCACCGATGGAGGTGACCCTGAACAGGAGATGAGGCCACAGAGAGTCAGGAAGAATGAAGTATAGGAATGCAATGGATCCAGATGGGTACCGATAGAGGCATAGAGGGCCCTTGTAGAGCGTGGGTATGTTGGCTCACCTACTTCCTGAACAACGTAACAATCGATGGTGAGAAGAAGGGTGCCAGATGCGAGGAGGAGTAGGGATCGTCCCCATCTCCAAATAGAAAAGAGACCCTACA